TCAGGGTCTTCGGCGGCCTCGGAAGCTGCAACTATACTTTTGGAGGTCCGCGCGGATTTCTCGTGCCGGTGCTGGACGCCCCCCCTCCCTGCACCACCTCCCCGGCACGCGGAGCGCCGAGGGCGGTGCAGGGGGGGGCGGGGAGGGGGATGCAGAGCCGACCCCACCAGAAACCCGCGCGGAACGTCATTGACGCCTGTGCAGTTTTTTCTGCTCTTCTGGCCAGAGCCGCAAGCCGTTTGGAGGCGCCCTGTTCGGGTCGAGCGAAAGGGGGGATTCGTGAAGTGGGGTCAGCGAATCAGCTCACGCAGCGGATTTTCGCGGCGCCTGCTGACGCCGCGGGAGCCAGCTGCATGCCGCAGATCTCGTACCCCCCCCCTTCCCCGTATCAGGGCCCCTGGACACGGGGACGCTGGTAGACCAGGACCCTTTGGCGGGCCCAAGAACAACTGCAGCCGTGGGCCGATACGTTCTCCAATCTGCGTTCTCCCCGGGTGGATTTCTCACAATCCCAGTCAGGCATGTCCTGGTTTCGACGAGGCCCGCAACGCACACGCCCAACATCGTACATAAGCATGGCCCCCCAGTCTGCGAGAGCCTGCGAGAGCAGCCTCGTGTTACGATCGTTCGCGCAATGCGTACTTTCGAAACCAGCGTGGCTTCATGTATGTGTACGTCATTCTTTCGCTCCTGAGTTCAGAGGGCCCTGGCTATGCCCTCCCCCCTCTCGCCCGACCCAAGCTGTGCCCCCGGCGGCGCCGAGCGGCTGCAGGTGGGGGGGGGTGGGGCTGGCGCTGGCCGGCGGGGCGCTTGTGGCTCTCGCCGCGGCCGCCCTCGGCGTCCTCGGATGCGGATCTGCGCAAGGGTGACACCAGGCAGGAGCCTCGGCCGCCCCGACACGCAACATGCAGAACGTAGCGTTCGACACGGAGCCCAACGCGTAGATTGAAAACCAGGTCTGGCGCGATACGCTCGCCAGAACGAGGGCCAGCACATGCCGAGCAAACACGCAGCATGCTAGCACTGACTCTTGGAACACGGTACGCGCTGCATTTCATAAGGAGCGTGCCAGGGCAGCTGATGCAAGAGTGCGACCTTGGGTGCACGGCAGTGGGGTGCCGCGGGAAGGCCATATCTGAGCGCGAGAGCAAGTGTTGGGGGGACCCCATGTGACATGTGCCCGCACGCGAGATCACTCTGGCGAAGGGTCACCCTTATGCGCAGCCGATCGAAGCTGCGGGAAGGCGTGGCGCTGGCCGGTGGAACGCCCGTGGCTCCGCCGCGGCCCGCTTGGGGCCAGAGGCGCGCTGCTCTCGGCCGCTGGGCCTCGCTGTCGCGCACGGACTCCTCGGCTGCACGCCCAGAGTGGCCCTGGGGCAGGGACTGGCCTCTGGTGCCGCGGCCTGCCGATCGCTGCGCGCGATGCGGCAATGGCGGCCTGCGCGCCTGGCTGTGGCAACACGAACGAGGCCTGGACATCTCTGAGGCCCGGCAGCTCTGGAGGATGTACCGGGCGCCGCCGCGGCCGTTCCAGAGTGCTCCTGGACGCTCTGAGAGCGTTCTGGAACGCTCTGGAACGGGTTCCCCCTGTCCTGGGCTTGCCTGCCCCCCCCCCCGCGCACCCCGAAAGCTCGGACGAAGGGGCACTCCGACGTGTAGCCGAGCTCAGAAGAAGAGCACGCGGATACCCTGGCGGCCAAGCACTCTCGGAGCGCCCTCTCGAAGCACCTGGCGGAGAGCGCCTTCTCGGAGCTCTGTGGCTTGCTGCGGCCGTGAGGGGTGGCAAGACGTGCCCTCTTCTGGGGTGCCGAATTCGCCCCGCGGGCGCACTCAGAAGAAGAGCACGCTCACCTCCAGGCAGCCGAGCACCGGGTGGAGAGCGGAGAACACGCTCTCGGAGGCGAAGATGGTCGCGCCGGCCACCACCAGCGCGCTGAGGGTGTAGCTCGAGAGCCCGAGCAACGGGAAGAAGGCCGAGGCCAGGACCACGGCCACCTTGGCATGAAGGAACCAGGTCCTTGACCCCAAGGCTTTCCCAAGACGACTTCATCCCCGAGCCGTTCCTTGACGATACTGTGGCCAGGGAGGGCTCCTGGAGGCCGAAAACGCAGAACAGCTCCAGGACCTGTTGCCCTCAGGACCCCCCTTCTGTATGCCGACCCTCGCAAATCATCCCCAAACCTCCTGCTGGCCAGAATTTCGAGGAGAATCCAGCCGTGGCGACGAGGAAACCAGAATCGCTCCAAACAAATTGATCCATCGAATCTTGATTACCTTGTGCGGACCTTTCTTCTAGACGAACAAGAAACGTAACAATAAAATGTCTAAAGTCCGCGCGTTTTTGTTGATCGGCGCTGTAGGCGGCGCCAGGGGTCGGGGTGGGTTGGGGAGGGGGCAAATCCGAGCGGGCCAGCAAGTTCTGAGGGGGACCGTTGTGCGCCAGCACGAGGGGTCCCTCCTGCGAAGAGTCACTCTTACGAGTAGCGGGTCTGGTTTTCAGGTCGCATCTCGGCTCTCGGGCGGCCGTTCGGGAAGATTCGGGCGCTCCTGAGCGCCCTCTGCGAGGCGCAGCTACTGGAACGTATTCCTAGGCCGGAGAACTGCCGAGAAGCAGCGAAAACTGGACGAAATGGTCCGAAACACTCCAGCGCATGATCACTCTCCCAGACATCCGGCGCTGCAACTCTTCCGATGCGTGGACCCCCAAGGGTCTGGACAACTTCCCTAGGGCTGTTTTTTGATCCTCGGTCGTTTTTTGACGCAGGACCTGGCTTAGTTTTTAGTGGGAACTGGTTTAGTGATGTGTGCTAGGGGACGCCTCCCCCGCCCCTTTCCACGAACTGGGAATAAATGCAGCGACCCGAAAACACAAGCTACGCCTGGTTTAGTGATTCCAACATTTGATTTGGCATCAGGGCCCTACCACAAACCGGCTCTCCTCACTCGGGGCCCTTGCTACAGTGCGGACGCGGCCGCGAGAAACGCTCGCAAGAAACCCAGCCCTGAAGACCAGCGCGCGAGGTGCGACTGGGGGGGCAACCAAAAGCACCGTGGACGCAGCAGGTTCTTTCACGGGCGCGGGAAGTCCGCGCAGCGCGCGAATACCCGATTACGTATTGCTGAACGGTGACCACCATCGCCGTGAGCACTGGCGCCGGGAGCTTCTGAGCGGCCAGGGGCATCCCGCAGCTTCGCTAAGGGGGAACCGCCCGGGCGCGGCTCGAGCCGGGTGTTGCCAGCGGTGGTCCTGCTCCAAGGTGTCCACAGCATTTCGCGCAGTTTTGGAGCCCTTGGGTAGGATTTCCCAGAGGGGGTCGGACTGCATGGGGTCGGGAGATCGCGTCGCATCGCCGATGCATCGGCGTGGGCTCCACATCGAGCCGCATCGCCGATGCATCGCCGATGCGGCGCGGTCCTCCGACCCCATCTTCGCTGACCCAATCTGGATGGCCATCTGCGCCTCCCCGGGAAAGCCGCCCTGGGCCGGGGCCACCCCTGGCAACACCCGATCGAATGGGTGGGGGAGCCTCTGCGCCGGCGCCCGAGCCAAAGCAGCCACGGCTCGCCACTGGCGCACGAACGCGACAACCCAGAGGGCACGAGGACGCCGCAAAGGAAAGGCCCTGAACTCCATGTGTCGTGAAACAGACAATTAGAAATCATGGCATGCTTGGCGCCCACATTGGCGCCCTGGCAGAGATCTCACCCGTAAGCATGTGACCCACCCAACAGGGGGTAACTAATTATTATTGAAGGACTGGGGTCCCACCACTAGTGGGTAACTCATTATTTGTTCCGCGGCACTCGCCGCGCAACAACGCCTACGACAGCTATCAGGTTAGCCAGATGCCCTATACTCATACCGCCGACGTCGCATTTTTGGGGCAGCGCGGGGGACAAGTTGTTACTCCCGGGGCGTTTGTTTGACGCTCCTGGGGCTCCGCAGGGGCCGAAGGTTGGAAAACGGTCGCGTTGTTTGTTGTTTCTTCCAAGGTCTCCCGTCAACCTGCAAACTGGTGAACGGAGGCGTCCCAGAACAGTCTGCCAGAATGTCGGCTACGCGCAAGAATGGTTCCATGCAAGACCGGCCTCTGGCGCGCGGTCTTCGGGGGCCGCTGGGGGGCCAAAACCAAGCCCGCAAACCTTAGGTTGAGGGGGAGCGACCAGGGGGACGAAATTTCGAGATTCGAGATTTTCTCACGTTTTCGCCGGTCCCCGGCGGCCTTCCAACCTCGGGATGCCTTCCAGCGGCTGCGCCTCGCCGGGAGCGTTCGGGGGGGTCCCAAGTCGTCCCGAACGGCCGCCACGGGCTCGATTTGCTGTCTCACCCGAAAACCACCAGGGGACCAGCTCAGGGAGGGAAGCGCTGACCTGGAATCGGCGATACATCGCTGGTGGTTCGGCGACTGGCCCCCGATAGCGAGTGCGCGCGCTTCTGGGCGGGGCTGGCTCTCGGGCCCATATCGGCGATCGATGGGGGACGGGGGGGTCGATGCGCCCCCTCTGAGCCGATCCTCCCCTCGCGTTGCCCCTGCCGCTCTGGCGATCAGCCGCTCCTGCGCGCAGCCGGCGGAGGACTGCAAGGGCGTTCACACCGAACCGACAGCGAAACCGAAACCGACCGAGACCGACAAGGCGCAGGCAGCCCCGAAAGCCCCCCAGCGACGCGGCAATGGCACGACAACCGACCGAGCCGAACCGAGGGAACGCAACGGACTTCGACGCGGCCGAACGGACCGAAGCGCGAACATCGCTGGACTGGGCCACTCCTCCTCCCTCTCGTCCTTCTCAGTCCTCCTCCTCCTCCTCCTTTTTCCTAAAACCTTGCAAACGCGCGTCTGAGGTCTCCATGCATGTAGCAGCGGTGAGAAAAGAGGCAGCAAGCCGAGAGCGACAGAGAAGAACAGGCCGGCCAACATCAGCCCTCGCCGAAAGAACACAGATGGGCGACAACCTCCTCCTCCTCCTCCTCCTCCTCCTCCTGATCAGCGACCCGCGGCCTGCTTCTTGCGGCCCCGACCGCTGCTGCGGCCGCGCTCGCGCTCGCCGCGCTTGCGGCTGCGGCCGCCGCGGCTGCGGCCGCGGCTGCGGCTGCGGCCTGCAGTGGGAGAAGCCCCCGTTGGCGAGCTCGGTCGCCCCCCACCCACCCCCTCCACTCCCTCCCCCCTCCCCTTCCTCCCCCCTCACCTCTACAAACACACAATATGAATACTACTCTCCTCTCTCCCCTGATGACGTCATGAAGATGTACGCCCCCCTGTGTGCGGATTTTTACGCACAAGAAACCCAAGAATTGGGTTTTCGCTTGGGTTTGGTTCGAAATGTTGCTCCCGCTGAAGCGCTGGCCTCATTTGGCTTCCGCTCGTTCCGAATCGTACTCCCGCTGCTGCGCTTTCCTTATTTCCGCGCTTCCGCTCTTTCCGAATCGTACTCCCGCTGCAGCGCTGACCTCATTCTGCGCTTCCGCTCGTTCCGATTCGTGCTCCCGCTGCAGCGCCACGGCATGCAATGCAATGCAATGTGGTGTTTCGCTGTGCGACACCATGCCACGGCATGCAATGCAATGCTATGTGGTGTTCCGCTGTGCGACGCCATGCCCCAACATCTAGAACATGCCCCCCCCTCCTAAAACAAATATTGGAATTGATTTCGCATTGGGTGTCGATTCGTTACTTTTTTGGTCCGCAGAAGCCCCCCCCACTTTGGGGCGTCGTCGTTTTCAGGGAGCCTCAAGCGGGAGCCCCGTTTCTGCATTAAGAAGGCGATGAAAGCAAAGCCAGCGGGTGCTCTCCATCAGCCCCGCCTTGTGTGGAGCTTTTCGGGGAGCCCAACGAGCTAGACATGGAGCCACGACTCCAGACTGGCCCAGACCTCTCGAACACGATCCACTTACCCTCCAAGGAACCCGACGCCATGCCAAGACATGCTGTGCGGTGTTGTGCTCTGTGCCGCTGTGCGATGTCATTCTTTGCGTTGCAGTGCTCCGCGGTTAAATCCTTCACTACGCAACGCCACACCATGCTATGGTATGCTACGTTCCGCTGTGCTCTGCTACGCCCTGCTATGCCGTGCTCTACGATGCATCGCGCACTCTCTCACGATCATTGCCCTGCTTGCCATCCGACTGTGCGAATAGATCTACGCCGTGTTAAGGGACGAGAGGGAGGGGTAGGACGTCAGATATGACGCGAGCGCACCTAGCTCGCTCCACCCCCCTCCCCTTCCTCCCCCTTCCCCCCCACCCCCCACCTCTACAATTACTCAATACGACTACTACTCTCCCTCTTCCCCTGATGACAGCCTGGGAGTGTCCGACCCCCCCCGCGTATTGTTTTTTACACACAGGTTTTCCCTGAGTTGGGTTTTCGCCTGCATTTGTTTTCAAAATGCTGCTCTCGCTGAGGCGCCGGCCTCATTTTCGGGCCCCGCTCGTTCCGAATCGTGCTCCCGCTGCAACGCTGGCCTCATTTCCGTGCTTCCGCTCGTTCCGAATCGTGCTCCCGCTGCAGCGCTGGCCTCATTTCCGCGCTTCCGCTCGTTTCGACTCGTGCTCCCGCTGCAGCGCTGGCGTCATTTCCCGTGCCATGCCACGGCATGCAATGCAATGCTAGGTTGATACTACGCTTTGCGGTGCTCTTCTACGCCATGCCATGCCGTGCTCTACAATGCACCCCGTACCCTTTCGGGATCATTGCCCTGCTCGACATCCGACTGTGCGAGTAGAGAGGGGATCTGTGCCATGGTAAGGGATGGGAGGGAGGGGTAGGATGTCAGATATGACGCGAGCGCACCTAGCTTGCCCTCCCCCCTCCTCTTTCGCCTTCATCTCCCTTCCCCTCCTCTCCATCCCCCTCCTCTCCCTCCCCCCTCCTCTCCCTTCCTGCCCTCTCCTCTCCCTCCCCCCCCTCTCCCTCCCCCCATCCTCTCTTTCCCCCACCTCTCCCTTCCCCATCATATTCACCCCCTGCCCCTCTCCTCTCCCTCCCCCCTCTTCTCCCTCCCCATCCTCTTTACAGGTCTCGCTGGTGCTACAGGTCCTACATGCCTCGGGGGTCCCACAGGTCCCACGAGTCTCAGAGGCCCCACAGGCCACAGAGATCCCCCAGGTCGCACTGGCCCCACCAGCCCCGCAGGTCAGTTATCCTTTGTAGATTACGGTGTGTTCGCGTCCCCGAGGCCACGATCCTCATAACTTGCACCGCGTTCGTGTCCCCGAAGCAACGTTCCCCCATCAAATACTCCATATTCGCGCCCCCGAGGCCAAGATCTCCCAAACATTACGCTACATTGGCGCTTCTGGGGCCACGTTCCCACGTAAATTGCGCCACAGTTGCGCCCCCGCCACGATCCATCGTAAATTGCGCAATGGCTGCGTCTCCGAAGCCAGCAACCCTCGCAACGTATTTAATGTTTGCGCGTCCTAGAGGCAACACACCTTCGTAACTACCGCAAGAATCGCGCCCCCGAAGCCGTTCACCTTCACAAAGTATGCAATTCTTGCGCCCCCGAAGCAACACACCTTCGCACCTTACTCAATTTTAGCGTCCCAAGCCCTCGTACATTACAATATTCGCGTCCCCGAAACCAGAATCCCCCAGGCCCATACGTTACGCAATATCCGCGTCACCGAGGCCACGCACTATCGCACATTGCTCAACAACCGCGTCCCCTGAGCCAGAACCCATGGTACATTAAGCAATGCCCGCGCCCCCGAAGCCACACACCACCGCAAATTGCTCAATTCTTGCGCCCGCGGGGCAACAAACTCTGGTAATGTTTTCCATATTCACGCCCATGTCGCCATACACCCGGGCAAATTGCGCTATTTGCGTATTGCCGAGGCCAACAGTGCTCCAAAGCGCCCGAACATGGTTCCAAGACGGCCCGAGAAGGTCCCAAAAGTGATCCACGGGACGTCTCGAAAGAGCCCCAAGAGGCCAACATCGTCGATGTTCCCAAATCGTGGTTGGAGGAGTTTGGGGTTCTCGCATTTACGGCTTTCCGACGCTCCAAGATGGCTTAAGAAGCTCCCACGGCCGCCCCAAGGCAGCCCAGAACGCCTCCGAGAGGGCCCCAGGACGGCCCGAAAGGGCTCCAAAATAGCCCAAGAAACGCCCCGAGAAGCCCCGAACAATCCCCAGTAGGCCCCAGTAGGCCCCAAGAGGCGCCCAAGACGCGCCAAACAAGCCTCCGAAAGACCCGTCAGATATCGCACGAGGCCCCAAGAGGCCCCCAGGAGGGGCCGAAATCGCCTCCAAGAAACCTCCGAAAAAAAGGCCCCCCCACGACGCCCAAGCACATATTCAAGAGGCCTCATACCCACAACCCATACACGGCGACGGGATGGGCCGACGACCACTCGGATAACGCAAACGTTTCCATCTGCGCTGATGACTCTAATCCGCCCCCGCATGATGTTCCCAGGTGCGCCAAGGCAGCGCCGACACGCACCGACGCGATTCTGCTAGATCCCCATATCATATAGAGAGAGGGCCAGCGGCAGGGGCGAAACCCTTACGGATTAATCATCTTGACCACCGTATCCCTACCATTCGCACCATCACCATCGCGGCCATCATCATCATCATCATCATCATCATCATCATCATCATGTTCACCATCAACATCATCACCACCACCACCACCAGCCCAGCATCACCATCACCATCACCATCTGCACCATCAACGTCATCATCAACATCACAGTCGTCATCGCCATCATTACCATCACCCTCATCATCATCATCATCATCATCATCATCATTATCATCATACTCGTCCTCCTCATCGCCGCCACCGTCACCGTCATCCCCATGACTACACTACCACCGTCAACACCAACCTCATCAACATTCACGGCATATTCACCGTCAACGTTGTCAGCATCGTCAGCATCACCATGATCCATGCCCGTACCAGTAACAGCATCAACATCAGCATCGGCATGAACACCCGCACCGACACCGATACAATCGCGGTCATCACCATCATCATCATCATCATCATAATCATCGCCAACAGCATCACCAGCATCACCGCCCGCATCACAATCATCACCGTCATCATCACCATCACCAGCGCCACTACACGAATCCACGTCTTGTTCATCATCACCATCATTCTCATCACCATCACCAGCATCACAATCGTAATCGTAATCATCATCACCACAACCAACATCACCACCACCATCATCACCATCACCATCACCACCACCACCGGCACCGTCTCCGTCTCCGTCTCCCTCAGGATGGCCACGATGTGACCGAGGGACGGCCGGCGGACCTTGAATTAGCCTGGCGAAGGACCCAACCATATGCAGTTGTGAACACCGCCATTGTTAGTATCGCCTTCGGTGGATCCCCCTGTGGGGCCAGGAAGCGCGTGAAAGGTGTGCCGAAACGGGGCGGGGCCGCCATGCGGGCGCTGCCACTGGGGCCTTCGGCAAAGGCCCCTTAGGAGGCCACAAAACGTGTGAGGGGTGTGCCGACATGGGGCATAGGTCGAACTCGGCCAGGTCGAACTCGGCCGGTCGAACTCGGCCGATCGAACTCGGCCTGGTCGAACTCGGCCAGGTCGAACTCGGTCAGGGCTGGACTCGGCCAGGTCGAACTCGGCCAAGTCCAACTCGGCCGGTCGAACTCGGCAAAGTCATACTCAGCCAGGGCTCCGGCTGCAGCGTTGCCGCCCGCGAAGATGTGCCGGCTAAACTCGGCCAAGTCGAACTCGGACGGGTCGAACTCGGCCTGGTCCAACTCGGCCAGGTCAGACTCGGCCAGGCGAACTCGGCCAGGTTCAACTCGGCCGCGTCGAACTCGGCCAGGTCGAACTCAGCCAACTTTTTCTTCAAGCCGCCGCGATACTTCCACGAAAGAGAAGGCAATTCGAAATTGGGTGAGGGCACGTCGACGTTGGGGGAAGCTCATGTACATGTTCCCTTCAACACCACACATCCGCCGACGTGTTAGCGTGTGTAAGACGTCCTTCCATTGGTCGCCGTCGTCGTCGTCGTCGTCGTCGTCTCCGTCATCTCCTCGTCGTCTCCGTCTCAAACGCCCCAAGAGGCCCCCAGAGGCCTCCAAGAAGCCCCAAGAGGGC